GGGGGTCGTACCTCTACTGTACTGCGTTTTTTTATTTTAGGGGAGGGGTGTTGTTTTGTTTTTGTTTTTGTTTTCTTTGGTGGGTTGGGGGGGGTCTTTTTAATTCGCATATTTTTGTTATTTTCTGTTGTGTTTATTTGTTTGTTTTGTTTGTTTCTTTCTTTATTTGATTCTTTTTTTTTAAGGGCTGTTGCTACTATTGTTGCTACTATTGTTGCTATTGCAACTACATGTATTTTTAGATTTAGTGGCGTTGCTGCTCTTATCGCTAAATTTCTGTAATATAATCGTAGGTGTTCCGCAGTCCTATCAAGACAATTAAGATCATTCATGGGGCGTGCTGCTTCAACTCTACCTATGAGGGCCAACTCGGTATGAGAGGGATACAACGTCCCAGCAAAGAAATTGAGATACACGTACTCGGTAGAAATTCTTTCCAAACGGGAATCGAACTCGGGTCTTCAAACGCTGCTCCTGATTTTGTTGCTGCTGTTCTCTATAAATTATATAACAAGATGCATGATGATACGAATCTTTATAGACTTGGCATCTTCTATTCTTCTATTGCACAAAAACATTCAACCTCTATAAGTTCATCATCATCCAGTGCCAGATATGCGACAGACATCGGCGATCATGGTTTTTCCATTCATTCCTTTGCTCGGATGCTCTCAAAAAAGTTACGTTTCCCTGATCTTTCCCAGTTACCCATTTGTTTAGGTTCCCTAAGTATGTTGTTCTGGGCCTACCTCTGCCTCACTTGCCCTAAATTTTGCCAGTGAGAGTTAGATGTTCAAGACCCTTATGTCTATTCAGGTGTCCCAAAAACTGCATTTGTCTTTTCCTGATTGTTTTTAAAATTGAGCCTCCCTCGTGGGCTTCATCAAGCACTACCTCATTTGATTTCTTTTCCTTCCACGATACTCTTAGCAGTCTCCTAAGGAACCACATTTCTGTTGCTTCTATTTTATTTTCACTGTCTTTAGTGATTGTCTAGCATTCACAGCCATATAGAATTTCAGGACTTTCATTTTGGTGTTCATTGAGATGTTTCTATTTTTCAGGATTGGGCGTCATTTTATTGAAACTAGCCTTAGCCATTGCAGTTCTCCTTTTTATTTCAGAGGAACATTTGGCGTCAGATGTTGTCTTATATCCTAGATATTTAAACTGTTGAACTTGTTTGATCTTTTCACCTTTGCTAATGCTCTATAAGTTTCGAAATGAAATACGTGACATAATGAATTAAAGCACTGTATCTTCTTTTTCACACAAAAACACATGCAGCCTGGATGAATTACCAAATAAAAATATTATGAATATCATAAACACTGTTTAGCTAAAATTTAAAAAATAATAAAAAGGTATGGCATTATACAAAAGACGAAACTGAAGGAAAAGACACAGCCTCTATAAATAGTTACATAATGAGACACAAAAATTATGGACCTTAATAGACAATCCATCTTCCATTCCATATTTTAAAAAGCCTGCAGATTATACATTAAATAAAAAAGCTACGTGTTTTAAACCTTATTAAATTATGCTTCAACGTCTGTTATGCGTTAACGTTTTCATAAGAAACATTCTGTAAATCTTTAATAAATTAAATAGTCTGTCTTTTCCGTCAGCGGTGCTTGCCGTGTAGAGTGTACTGTAGTGCAGCATATAATATCGATCTACTAATGTGGCCTACGAGAAGCTTGTTCGCCTTTTTTCTTACTTACTTGGACTTTTTCATCTTCTGTTGCCGTTACGGAAATGCAGTTTTATTTGGCAGGCTAGCTCAGCAGCTCTTTCCACTGGGATATTAAAATTTCTCAGGGTGACCTTGACTCTCTCAATCCACTTTTTGCGTGGCCTTCCTCTTTTCTTTCCATTACACAGAATTCATTACTGCGCTGAAAGCACCGTTTCCTTTCACTTAGTCTTCACAAAGATTGATTACTAAAAGCCGTTACTTTCATCTTCTGACGGCATCCGAGTGCATTTTGTACAACTGAGGGATTCTCTTCTGAATCTCTTTTTCTCTTTCTTTTTTCCCCACAATCCCGCATCATCTGTCAATTTGTTTTCCCTTTTTTTTCTTATTTTTAGTAATGATATTTTCTTTCTTGTTTAAGTTTTCATATTTCCATTTTCATTTTCTTGTAACAGACTTTCCGCGTATTGGTTAGACTTAAGCCTGTTTACCGGCAAACAGAGAGCCTCAGGGAAGGGGAGGACACTGGCAAGGGGTGGCCTGGGAAGCGGTTAGTGGGGTGGGGCTTGAATGGGGTAAGGGGGTAGTGGTATGTGTGTGTGTGTGTGTGTGTGTGTGTGTGTGTGTGTGTGTGTGTGTGTGTGTGTGTGTGTGTGTGTGTGTGTGTGTGTGTGTGTGCATGTATATTATAATAAGTGTGTATGCAAAAACAGGTGTGTGAGTGTAATATTGTGCATAT